GCAGCAAGAAGCTAAGAGCCCGAGCTCTTCTCAAGATATTCATCTTTCATTAGGATCAACATAACGTATATAGTCTTGACTGAAAATCGATTGATTACTTGAGGCACTTCTCTTATAAGAAAATAGATGGCTTTTGATCCAATTTATTACCTATACAAAAAAATATTAAACTCATGAAAACATTGTTTCTTGTTCTGCTATAAATCAAAAACGTAAATTTTCTTTCAATTTTATATGTAACATTGACAAGACGATCATGTTTTACTTACTCAGCAAGTTTTTCTGCAAAGAAAGTATTGATTTTCGTTGCTTCTTTTTCACAATACTATATAGAAAATAAAACGAATGAAAAAAAAAAATACATAAAACATTAATTTATTTTCATATACTACCTGAAAAAAATGTTCATCAACACGTAAGAAGAATTGCTCACGAAGAACATTATCACTATCATCAACAAATGGTTGTGCTTTAGCAATTGCTTGTGCAAGTAATTCTTTCATATCATCATATCGAATATATTGACTATTCCATTCTGGCGTAACATGTGCTGATAAATGTTCGGCAAATTTCATGATTTATAAGATTATTTTACATAAAATCAACCAGAAAATATCATTAGAAAACGTTGTCTAATAAAGAAAAACAAAAGAAAACAATAAATCAGTTCGAAGAAAAAAAAGAAGAGGGCGTTTGGAGAGTAACAAAGTTATTTGATAGAAAAGTTTTTTTTTTTTGTCTTTCTATAATATAAGGCAAATGATATTTATTTGCATATGTACATGACCAAGATAAATGAATAGAATTAGAGAAAGAAAAAAATGTCGAATATGAGAAAAAGAAAGAAATGAGAGTATACGTGTAACAGATAATTTTCTATATATCGATCCTCTGCACTATTCGGACAATATTAAACAAAAGAAATTAGTCAAGCAGAAAAATCACAAAACATACTTGCTCTATCATCCAATATAACTTCATATTATTTATCACGCAATAAATATCTGAAACAAAAAAAAAACAAAAAACAAGATGTTTTATAATTTTTTAATAATATAAAATATGATCTTTTTTTTTCTTCTTTTTCTTTTTTTATCTTCTCCATAGTTTCAAAACTTTATCTTTGCCACCACTAGCAACTATTTGTCCATTTGGACTATAATCGACTGCATAAATTTCATCAGCATGACCGGGTAAATCAAATAAAATACAACGTTTTTCAATATTCCAAATTTTTAATGTACTATCAGCACTACCCGATACAAGTAAACGTGAATCAGCTGACCATGCTATTTGATAAACAGCTTGAACATGTCCACGTAATGTTGCAAGAAAAGCACCAGTACGACTTGACCATAATTTAATTGATCTATCAAAACTAGCTGATGCTAAAAGACGAGTATCAGGTGAAAATTTAACATCATTTATTAATTGTTGATGACCCGTCATACGTGCTAATGGTTTTTTATCTGTTTCTGGTTTCCATAAATAGAGTGTAAAATCATCCGAACCAGATACAAGTCTTTCACCACCATTTGTATCAAATAATTTATAAACATTTTCATATCTTTCAAGTGCCATTGTTTGTAATGTAACATCATCAAAATTATCACTATCATTAGTTGTATTTTCTTTTGATGGTTCATAAAAACCAGTTCGTAAAACATAATCTGTTGATAATGCAAGTGTATTTACCCAATGTGCATGTCCTTCTAATGTACGACACAGAACACCATCAATAGTACGCCAAACTTTTATTGTACGATCTTGTGATGCTGAATAAAGTAAATTTTGACCACCCCATTTAATACATGTTACTGATGCTGTATGACCACTAAGAGTGAAGACAGTTTTAAATAAATGTGTATCCCAAATTTTAATAGTTGAATCTTTACTACCGGAAGCTAATAAACGACAAGAACCATTTAAATGTAATGGTTGCCAACTTAAAGAATTAATCCATTGATGATGACCAGATAATAATTTGGTACCTAGAGAAAAAGAAAAGGATATATAATTAAGTGAATAATTGTATCTAAAAACAAAAATATTCTTTTGTCTTTTCCAAATTGAAGAGAAACAGACAATTGTGCATGTCATGAAAAATCGTCTACGTTTGGATGACTAATCGAAATTCATTGACGATTTTCGATATATGATATATATCATAATTCATTGATGATTTCATGACAAGAAGAATGCCTGAATGGTTAACTAGTGTATTTTGCTTCCAGATCTTAAAGTAACAATTTCTCAAGAAAAGAAACGAGTCCGAAGCTATTTTTAGAATTGGATGATTTATTATGCTTTGAGGGTTCGAACTCAATATGTATTAAGGGATTGATTCATATCAATATTAAACAAAGGAAGACAAGTCTTTGTTCTCCAGCAGACAGAAATTTCTGAAAACGAATTTTTAGAAACTCTTATCTGTTTGAACTGTTTTAAAAGGATGAGAAAAATGAAGTACTTTTATTAATTTCTATGAACTAATAAAAGTCAAATTACTTTAGAAAAGATGTAACGTTAAATTCATGATTATCAACGAAAAACTAAACAATACAGTTAATGGTATTAATATGTCAATTCTATCTGAATTGTCGCTTAGTATATCGCTCGACAAATTTATTGTTAGTATAGTATTGCAATTGGTAAATATTGTCTTTGAGAAATATCGTACAATATTTTATTTCATTTCTGTAGTATACATTAGAAAGCTTCATAATCGGCACGCTCGTTTGCATAAGATTTATCACGCCCTAAACTAATGATAGTTATGAGTCAATATAACTTTCGGAGAGCGTTTCAGTAGAATGTCTAATATGAATCATAATAAGTCATCAATGAATGGTATTTTTTAATAAAAATCGAGAAAAAGGTCATCTTTTCGAACAATTACTTCGTGATATGATCTCATAATTAATCTGACTAATAAATCATGATAAAATCGTCAATACTAAGGCAATTTTCTTAATGTGAGGAACTCTTATCTTTTTTTTTCTTACAATTTATCATTTTCTCCTTTCATCTGAATTGTTTTTAGTTGAGATCATCGTCTTTCCTCAAAAGTCCATTTTAGATTAGGTATATTCACATTATATGAAATTTTCACTATATGCAAGGACTATGGTCAAAATATTATGGTAAAATTCTCATCCTCATGTCACAAAATATTCAATAAACAAGCATCAAAAATAGCTCATTTGAAAACCAGAAATTCTCTATAGACATTCATTCTATATTCTTCATTTTCTTTCTGCTTGAAAAAGCATGTTATTGATAGTAGCAAAACTTCATTTGAAAAAGAAACTCAATTATGTTCTCTCAAACTATATAAAGATTAAAAATATAGTATAAAATCATACAGAGAATTCAGGATCGTACGTTTTAAAAAAAAAGATGTTTGTCAGACAGAAAATGGAGCTATCTTATCATACATTTATATATGTGAATTTTCATTTTTTTTCTTTGAAGAGAGGTTCATGAAAAAGCAAAATTCAAATAAGTACAAACTATTAATTTTATCTTACGTAACTCGTATCATTACATAATTTATAATAATTTCAAGAGATATGATTTTATCGAGAATCCGCAAGTCTGTAAATCATATGAATTTGTTCTGATTCTTCTCGTCTCATAGAAGTGGACTAAAATTTTGCACGACAAAATCTATAAAAATAAGTGACTATCATTAGTTTTCTTCTTATTATTAATATATTCTACATCGACTTGATTTGTTTTACTTGATCTCATCGAAATAAAGTATTAACTATAAGAAAAACAACTATATTACATCGTATACGACTAAATTTAAATAATTCTTATAGCTCAATATTACCATCATATATTATTTTCCTTGTCGCATATAAAACAACAAGAGCATATAAGGATAAATGTTATACAAAACAGAAACCGTACATGACCTTTATATGTAAATACAACAAAGCGGGTGTTTTTGTTTCTGTAAATCATTATATTTCTTTCTATACCATACGAAATTAGGGTAATGATACGATGAGTGTCGAGCTGTCAAGTGAATCTCATGATCTTACAAGCCACAAAAAACACTTCTGCAAATAATATCTGACATTTTTGCATTGCATATTGACTATCACCTGCAGTCATATTGAATTCAAAAGATTTTTCTCATCCAAAGCTATTCTGAAACATGATCAAAAACGTCGAAGCTTTTCGTTTCAAAAATAAATTCGACAATAAGAATATTAATCAATACAACTAATCGCTAATGTAATTAAACTTATTTTCATAATTTAGAACGTAAGAAATCAGTTTAAAATATTCATTATTTAAACAAAAAATTCATCTTTACCATATTGTTTTCCAGTTGCACCGATCCATAATCCAATATGTCCTTGTTTACATGATGATGCTACAATTTTTCCATTTGGTGACCAACTTAAACATAATATCCAATGTTTATGTGCTTTTCCATATTCATCAAAAGGTGTTTGTGTATTTAAATCCCAAAATCGAACAGTTGTATCACCACTACCTGATGCTAATAATTTTCCATTTGGACTAAATTGTAAAACAGTAATAGCTTCAAGATGTCCTTCAATTGTTGCTGTACATCTTTCAACAGGTATAACTTGAAATCTTGCTTTAGGTACACATGTTATATTTAAAATTTTTTCAAATATTTGTTTATTTATTTGATCTTGAAAATATTTTTCTAATGATTCTTTTATTTCAATATCATCAATATAAAATGAATATGGAATTAATTCATTAGAATTATTATTTGATAATGTTTGTTGTGCTTGTACTAGTCCATTAGCAACACTATTTAATTGACGAATATTTATTATTAATGGAATTTCAACAGGTCCACCAAGTAAAGAACCATTTTCAAGTTGAAATTGACTTAGTATTGCTTTATCCGATGATGATGATGATGACATAATAAAATTATATATAAAACAAACAAACAAACAAATCTAAGTAAAAAAAAAAAAAACAACTGTAAATAAATTTTTTTTTTATGTTGAATCTTTTTTTTTTGATTTATTTGCTAAATAATTTTCAACATCTTTAATCATTAATTCTTCATCACGTCGTCGTATACCTGGTTTAACAAATAAACCAAAAAGTATTCCACCGGTCAACCATAAAAAAGCATAACGTGTATTTGGTACTTTTAATATACGTTTAAATGTTGTTAACCATGCTGTTTGATTAGGTTTTTGTTCACGAAAAAGTTGTTGATGTGCACTTTCTGGTTTTCGTTGATTAATAATAGGTGATGAATGATTTTCTATTGTCATTATTTTTATTTATCTACAAAATTGAAATACTATTCCAAATAAAAGGAACAATATAAGAACTATAACAATAGGTTTAAAAACAAAAAACGAAAATTATCATTTTGTTGTTTGTAATTTAAGTCCTAAAAAATCAAAAAAATAATTGAAATAATGAAATTATAATTGAAAAAATACCTTTTTCAGCTTCCGCTTGTCTTCTAGCTTGAATTTCTTTTAATGCTTCTCGTCTTTCAATAGCTTCTTTTGCTTCTTTAAGACCTGGTTTAAATGCATAAATACCACCTATAACACCAACTATACATGCAAGTGTAAAATCAAACCATGACATTCGTTTACGAAATGCAATATTTGGAATACCAAATCTAAAAGCCATTATATCTGAAATACAAAAAAAAAAAAGAACAAGTTTTGTTTTCTTTGATTTACATATGTGAATAACAAAAAATAATAGAAATTTTTCTTTATGATGATTTAGTCAATTGATAAATACGTTTGCCTGCTTTCAAACGAATATCATCAATTGTGATTGTTATCGCACTTGGTTGACATTGATATTGTTTTAAAATAGACTAAAAAAATAAAGATTAATCTTAAAGAAAAATCAAAAATTCTTTTCTATTTTAACAATATATATATCTAGTAAGTAGAATTTCAATGAATAAGCACATAATGATGAAGATACACTCTTGGGAATAATGATTTCTTTTTGTTTTGTTTTGTGTGACAACATCCTATTCATGATAAAAATATGAATTAAAATATTTGCATATAACTCATAAAGAAAAATCTCTTCAATGAATATTGTGTTTTCACTCATGAAAACTAATTTTTAAACTTTAACTTGAAATTCTGTATAAAAACAAACTTTTTTCAAAATTAATTTTTTATGATGAGGAAAACCAAAATATCGTGTTAAAAAGTATCCAAAATCTATAAAGTCACGAAAACTTTTCAAAAATATTCATAACTTAGTTTAATCTATCTAATGTATGTAATCTCGACTCAAAAGTAATTCATCAATTAGTGGACTTCTCTTGATAATATTTTCTATATGAATTATTATTTGTAATAGTGTCACTTGATTTTGTTTAACAGGACGGAAATGTTTATTTATCTTACCAAACATTTTTCTTTCCAATCATTTGGTAGTTTGTCTTGTCGATTTTTTTCTATTGAATAAGCAAAACTAATATGAAAACAAGGATTCTAACAAATTAGAAAAGGAAAAAAACAAAAAGGAATATATTAATAATTAGTTTTTTTTTTAATACCTCATAATAACATGGATATCGATGTTGATGAAGTATTTTATCAACAATTTCTACTAATTTAGAAAATTGTTCATCTTGATCAAGTGTAAAAACTAAAAATGATCTATCATAAAAAAGAATAAAAAAAAATGAAATATAAAATTAATTTTTTGAGATTTACGTTGATTTATCTTCATTATTTAATATCGTTACATTTTCAATCCGAGTTGAAAATCTAACAAAAAAATATTTATGCTTTTGAAATTTTCAATTTTTGATTAATTACTTTATCATTGAAATAGATAATTCATATTGTAAACATTTTCGTATAGATTCAATATGATGAAAACGAATAGGAAATGTTTTTGATAGACTAATATGTAATTCAATTAAATGTTTCCAATTTTCATTTTCATTATTAAATATTTCAATTAAATCATCAATCATTGTATCCAAATGAGATGAACATTCAACTAAACAAAACACAAAAAGTTTATTTATTTTTGCTAATTAAAATAACAAAAAAAAAAAAAACTTTACCAAATGCATAAATTGATAAAGACCAATTTCCTCTTTCATGTGGAAATAATCTTGTTCGATCATTAGTTTGTATTTGAAAATCTTTTTCAGTTAAATCAATTTCATTTTCAAGTTGAATATTAACAGATGGTAATTGTGGTTTAAAACGTTTTATATTATTATTTTGTTGATTATCATAATCATCATCAGATTCTGAAGAACTGTACAAAACAAGACTCATTTAGACAAATAAAAGAAGAAAAGAAAACTCCTCTTTTTTTCTTTTTATTTCAATAGAATATTTCATTGGTTAATATCAATATTCAATAGAATTCTTTTCATCAATCCTCTATTTAGTTATAGTCTGTGGACATATATACATGAGTCATCCAATCAATGTAGAAATCGATATCCACTAATGCACTTAGTCAAAACTGAAGGGTCAGAAAAAACAAATTTGATAAAAACGTATAGAAACAACAGATATATTTATCTGCATATTTTGTTTTCAAGAAAAGTGAGTTTCACCTAGATGATGGCGCTACACTACATGCGGAATTCAATTACAGTATTATCCCAAGTCAGCCCGTGCGCCATTAGTGCGCGTACCGTGCGCGTCACACGTGCGCGTGACGTGCGAGACGCTCGG